GGGAGGGGCCAGGAGAGGGTGTGTCTATGAAGTGGGAGGGGCCAGGAGAGGGTGTGTCTATACAGCAGGAGGAACCAGGAGAGGGTGTGTCTATGCAGTAGGAGGAACCAGGAGAGGGTGTGTCTATACAGTAGGAGGGACAAAGAGAGGGTGTGCCTGTGAAGGGGGGGGGTCAGGAGAGGGTGTCTATGAAGTGGGAGGGACCAAGAGGGTGTCTATGAAGTGGGAGGGTCAGGAGAGGGTGTCTATGAAGTGGGAGAGTCATGAGAAGGTGTGCCTGTGAAGCAGGAGAGACTAAGAGGGGTTGGCCTGTGAAGTAGATGGTGCCATGAAAGGTCTGTGAAGTAGGAGGGGCCAGAAGGGTGTCTATGAAGTAGGTGGAGTCAGGGCAGGGTGGGTCTGTGAAGTAGGTGGAGCTAGGAAAGGGAGAGCCCATTAGTAGGTGACGTCAGAAGGGCAGGGAAGAGAAGACATGTGGATTGCTCTGGGGTAGAGGAAGGGAAGGGTAGAAAGATGACTGACAACTTGGTTCCTAGGTGGTGGTTTCAGGATCGTGTGTCTGTTACTCATCATTCAGCAAAGGAAAGATAGATGCAGGAAGGCTCCTTGGAGCCACGGTGGAGGCAGCTTAAGTTCCCATTTTCCGAATGCCCCAAGCCCTGCAGCAGCACCTGCTGTCTGTGATCGGCTAGTAGCTGGCTCCAGTATCCATTCTTGTCTGTGTTAGTGATGTCAGCAATCCCTCTGCTGTAATGCTCCTCGCTCAGAAGAAGGGCAACATCTTCCACATCCTTCTGCAGCTCAGCATTAGCAGTCAGGCTAATGCTCACATGTCCGTCGGGGTCCTCTGAAATGTGGGTGTGATTGTTGGAGCTTGGGGAGCCCTGCTGGATCGTGGGGTAGAAGGCATGGGTTAAGGAAGATGACTCAAAAGGAGTGGCCTGGAATTCTGAGAACTTTGTGAACTACAAACCAACCCTGAGCTTTAAAAACAATTTCTGTGTGAGTGTGGGTGTACAATGTGTCATGCATGCATGAATGCCGAGGTCAGAGGACTCTGCAGAGTCGGTGTTTTCATCTTTAAACTCATGTCCACAGCCGTGTTCTGCAAGCTGTCTGTCCACTGAGCCATCCTGCTGGGGCCCCTGAGCCGCTTATGTGTGAGACTTCTGATTGTGAGAGAAATAAACTTGTATCTTTTATTTTTTATTTTTTTACTTTATGCTCATTGGAGTATTGCCTGCGTGTATGTCTGTGTGAAGGCATCAGATCCCTTGGAACTGGAGTTTACAGACATTGTGAGTCACCATGTGGGTGCTGGGAACTGAACCCTGGTCCTCTGGAAGAGCAGCCAGTGCTCTTAACCCCTAAGCCATCTCTCCAGCCCAGACTCGTATCTCTTATATGTAACTATTTTCTTGCACGTTGTGACACGTGAATTTAATCCCAAGTGGAACACTAGCAGAGCAGGCTTGTCTGGGGAAGGGACATGGGTGACTCTGACTGCATTACCCTGGCATCACACTCTGCTTTTCCGGCTCAAGGAGGCTTGGGAGGCTGTCCCTAGAGGGTGATGACAGAAGGACTTGCTTAGCCAGGTCTCTGGGAAATGGTGACCCTGTCTGTCCCTTCCACAGGCTGCCCCTGACTTGCTCCTCACCTTAGTCTGGCCCAGGGAGGCTACTGCTTCGCTTTCCCTCGGGGGTAGCCAATATGAAATTCCGAGGGTGGGAATATGGGGGAGCAGCCTGGGGACTCTGGGGAGACTATGTCCTGGAGTCCACAGCTTCTTCAGGGCCTCTGCTGCCCCCACTCTTGCAGGTTCCAGCCTTTGCTGGACTCAGGACTCTGATGCCTTCCTGACCCTTTCAGCACCGCTGGCCTCTGCAGTGCCTCCCCTAGCGCCTCCTCTGGGCTCCAGGAATGGCCTTTCTGTAAGTCCTCATTACAACCTAATTCTTGAACCAACTCGAGGAAGCCGCTTCACTCCAGGAACCTGCCCTGACACAGTACCTTTTGCTAAAATCGAAGCCAGGGGCAGGGGAGAGCCACAGGGACAGAGGCAGACAAAGGCAGGCCCAGGAAGATAAAGAGGGAAGGGTGAGAAAGGATAGACAGTGGGGGGGGCAGAGAGGGGGGACACTAGTAGCGCTGGCCATGGTGGGGCAGCCCTTAAATCCTGGCACTTGAGGGTAAGAGGCCAGTGGTTATGTGAGCTCAAGGTCAGCTGGTCTAGACAGTGAGGTCCAGGCCAGACAAAGACACGATGAGACCCTGGGGGCGGCGTCAGGCATGGAGGAAGGGACAGATAGGCAGGTGAGGATGGCAGAGTCAGGGAAGCCAGAGACAGCAGAGGAAGCGCTGGCACCAAGAAGCACAGACAGAGGTAGAAGTGGTCTGTAGTCAGGGAGCAGACAGCACCAGAGAGAGAGGAAATGCTCTACAGTTTCAGAGATCCCAGCTGGGGGCCAGGGAGATGGCTCAGTGCTTGCAGCGCAAGCCGGGACACCTGAGTTCAGATCCTCAGGGTCCATACAAAAAATCTGAGTGCAGAGGCGCAGAGCTTTTGAGGCCATGTTAGAAAGAAAAGAATGAGAACAAAGTCCCTAGTGCTGGAGGTGGAGACAGGAGGGTAGCTGGGCCTCGCGGACTCAGCCACTCCAGCCAATCAGTGAGCTCCGGCCTCCCTGACTCAGCCACTCCAGCCAATCAGTGAGCTCCGGGTTCAGAAAGAGATCCTGCCTCAAAATAAAAGTGTGTGTACGGAGGGGTGGTGTGCGGCTGGAGAGATGGCTCATCAGTTAGCGCTGGCTGCTCCTCCAGAGGACCCGAGTTCAATTCTCAGCAGCACATGGTGGCTCACAACTGTCTGTGGATCGTTCAAAGGGATCCAATGCTCTCATCCAGCCTCCTAAGGTATTAGGCATATGTGTGGTGCACAGACTTACATCTAGGCAAAATACCAATACACGTAAAATAAAATTAAAAAAAAAAAACAAGGCGGAGCCAGTGAGAAAGCTCGCCTAATACAAGTGTTTGATGCACAAACCCAGGAGCCCGAGTTCATCCCATCCCTGAGGTGAAGAGAGCAGCCACCTGACAAAGTTCTTCCCCAGCCCCCATGGCGTGTGTGCCCCCAACAGCATGCATGCACGCTGTAATAACTTAACGATTCTATTGTAGTGTATTTGGGAGAGCAAGGGGGGAGGCTTGTACCGTAGTGTACATGAGAAGGTCAGAGGACAAGTCTCACTCCACACAGTCGGTCCTGGGGGTTGAACTCCAATTATTGGGCTTGCCCGAAAGGACCTTTAGTAGTAGCTGAGTCATATTGCTGACCCGAGTAAATAAAAAATTAAAAAAGAAAGGAAAATAAGGGGAGGACAGTTGAGGAGAACACCAGATGTCTACTCCTGGCTCCTCCCACACGCACACGTACACACACACGTACGAACACCTACTCCCCCCCCCACCATCATATAAGGTACACTTAGAGTCTAAGCCCTCGACTTGTGCCTCCATCTGGCCCATGCCTCTATTTCCACACAGCCGCCAGGGCACGAGTTGAATGGAATGTCCACGCAGTGGAGCCGGGGTGGGGGGAGAGTCAGCAGGGCTCTGACAGACCCAAGGGAGTAAGCTGGTATACCAACAGGGAGGCCGTTGGGATGGTAGGAGCTACAGAACCACGGTGTCCTTAGCCTCGAGTAGTTCGGCTCCTTCCTTGGTCAACTCAGGGAGGATTCATGCCTGTTTCCCAGGACTGACAAACAATAACATTGTGTGTGGTGGCGTGCGTGTATAATCTGAGCTGGCGAGGCACAGATAGGTGGATTCTTGGGGCTCACTGGTCAGCCAGTCTAGTCAAGTTGGCAATTTCTAGGCTAGTGGTAGATCCTGTCCCTTAAAAAAAAGACAAGAAAGAAGATGGATATCATCTTAGAAATGATAGCTGGGCCGGGCGTTGGTGGCGCACGCCTTTAATCCCAGCACTCGGGAGGCAGAGGCAGGTGGATCTCTGTGAGTTCGAGGCCAGCCTGGTCTACAGAGCGTGTTCCAGGACAGCCTCCAAAACCACAGAGAAACCCTGTCTTGAAAAAACCAAAAAAAAAATCTCTCCTCCACTTCCAGATGGACACGTGAGTGGACCTGCATGCGCGCACACATCTTGGAGAATAGTGGTGACTAGTACACATAGGACCCACATCTAGGCTTCCAATAAAAGGAAGCAGGGTACCTGGGAGACAGAGTTGATTCCAGACCAGGGCAGGACAGTCACAAAGTCAGCTGTGGGTTCTGAGCAGTAGCTTTTCACTTTGCCTTGGGACAGGGTTTCCCTATGCAGTCATAAAGTCAGCTGTGGGTTCTGAGCAGTAGCTTTTCACTTTGCCTTGGGACAGGGTTTCCCTATGCAGTCATAAAGTCAGCTGTGGGTTCTGAGCAGTAGCTTTTCACTTTGCTTTGGGACAGGGTTTCCCTATGCAGCTCTGGCTGGCTTGGAACCCATGGCAATCCTTCTGCCCCTTACTTCCAAGTGCGGAGATTGTGGGCATCTGCCATGTGCCCAGACCCTTGGTGCTCTGTAGTTCCAGCCCACAGGGGGTGCTTTGTCCTTGTCAAAGTTCGTGAGTATGCCTAAGGGACACAGCTTGTGACACATCAGCACCCCCTCTCTACCCCATGACCCAACAGTAACGACCTGAGCAGCCAAATGAATACATCAGCATTAAATACTCCGAGTGTAACACAAACGTCCCCGAATCATGACGACATAAATAAGTGGATAACTAAATGAGGGTGAAATCTCCCAAGCAGGAGTGATGGAAGAAGTTCAATGACTTCCTTGGCTACAAAGCATGGTCGAGATCAGCCTAGGCAATGGGAGGCCCTGTTGGGAGTGGGGTGGAGGACCTGACCTATGCTTTGATGGTTTAGAAAGAATGTGAGGATTTCATGGGCAGATACACCTGAGGGTGTCTAGAACTGTATTAGACTGTGGCTGGTGTAACAAAAATATTTATTTTTAAGGAAGGTGAGGCAAGGGATTGCTCCAGGTACCTGAGGTATGGGAGGCCTCCTTGGCAGAGGATGTATGTTGTCCCTTAAAAGCAGAGCTCTTGGAGGGGGAGTTGATAATAATTGGAGGCCACATTGACATTGTGTTCTGCTGTCGCCCGGGCTTAGGGACACTAGATCTCTTAGCAGAGACCTTGGGAGTGATCCTGGGCACTGCCTTGGGGGTCTTCAGTCTGGAAGCTGGGGGAGGCTCCATCAGAGGCTGGTTTCTTAGCCAGCTATGCTCTTCCCTGGTTGCTACTGAGGGCAGGGTTTTGGAGGCGGAGCAGGAGGTCAGGGACGGCAGAGGGTGGAGCCTCATCTTTGTCTTCTGTTTGCACCCGCAAAAGCTGGCTCCACGGAGAGGGGGCAGGGAAAAGTCTTCCCACCAGCGGGCTGTCTCTGGGGAGGGCTTGGGCCAAGCCATCAGGCCCCACCCTGAATCCTGCCGGGGTGCTGCGAGAAGGGTCTTGATCCTGAGCAAGATAGAGGAACGGCGTGGGGTGAAGAGGAGGCAGAGGCGGGCCAGAGGTCAAGATGATCGACTGGGGATCCCCAGGGAGCTGGGCAGAGGGATGGGGAGGCAGAGCTATCTCATACACACCTGTTTTCTTCCTCTTCCTCCTCATCTTTGTCTACGTTCTCCTCCTCCTCCTCTTCCTCCTCCTCTTCCTTTTCTTTGTCCCAAATATCCTCCACTGGTGGGATCTTGAGCACAGGATTGAAGATGGAATCCACCCATCTTTCCTCTTAAAAAATAGGGTGGTAGGAACCTCACATGAAGAAGGGAATCCAGGATTGACAGATTCAGGGTTTGAGCAAGAGTCGCACCCCCCTTCCTGTGTCACCCCTGGCTAACTCTCTCACTCTAGGTTTCTGCTTTAGGCCTACCTATGCCAGGGTGTTTGGATTCTGATCTTGCCACTTAGAATATAGTGACAGTCTCTCTTACTTTTTTTTTTTCTCATTTTCCGAGACAGGGTTTCTCTGTATCTTTAGAGGCTATCCTGGAACTCACTCTGTAGACCAGGCTGGCCTCGAACTCCCAGAGATCCTCCTGTCTCTGCCTCCCGAGTGCTGGGATTAAAGGCATGTGCCACCATCGCCCGGCCTCTCTTACTATTTTTTGAGACAGTGTCTCACTATGTAGCCCAGGCTGGCCTCAAACTCATGATTCCCCCCGCTGATGCAGCCTTTCCAGTGTTGGGATCACAGGTATGTGACACCATACTTGGCTCTTGGTCCCTTTGCCCAACAAAAATTCTGTGAGTTAGGTAAAGCCTGCCCCAACCTGGACCACTCATCACCTTGACAGGCGGAAGCCTTGGGTAGGTCCCCTCAACCCCTCGTTCCTCTATTCCACCTATGTTTGTACCTGGCATGTCAGGGACGCTTACTGAGAGCCTTATTGAGCCATTGAGCTTTCTTCCTTGACTATATAAATTTCTAGCCAATATTTCTGTGCAGATTTGGATTTGAGATTATTTCTGTTCATGTCTGTCCTTGAGACGGACCGCCGAAGTCACTTGTCCAGAGGACCACAGGCCATGGGACCCGCCCAGGCCATTCCATCCCACCCGCTCAGGAAGAGAAGGGACGGCAATGTGAAGGAGACTGCTTTATCTTAGCTTAAAAGGAAGAGCCACACCTCCAAAGCCATTGTGACATCATCCTTGTGAGTCACAGCCCAAAGGAGCCCAGTGTCTTCACCAAATCTGGCTTGCTAGGCTTTCTGGGGAGTTCATTCTACCCTCATCTCCCCAGGTCCTCTGTGTAGTGGATGGCATCACAGACAGAGCCCACAGCTCTGGAGTAGGCTATCCTGGAGCTAGGCAGGGAGACGGGTAGGAAAGGAATCCTTCCCACATCCCTAGACCCTACACCCAGGCCCTAGCAGTGCAATTCTGGGAAAGAAGGGTTCATCTGGAGCAGTAAGGAGGTGACCAGATAAGTTAGTTAGTTCCTAGGTGCCCTGGCACTGCCAGCTTTCTCTGTCTATTTTCCCATGCTGGCATCCACCAGGCTTTTTTTTTTCTCATGTTCTTTTTGCTTTAGAAGAGTCTCTATCCTTTGTATATGTCTCTCTAACTTTTAGGAGGTGCCCTCCTGTCTGGCCCGACTGATGGTCCTTCCTCTCCCCAGATGTCTGTACCTTGACACTATTTTTAGTCAGAGATGGACAAGGAGCTCCCACATGTTCTGGATTACAACAAGATCTATATTTTCTTGCTTATTTATTTGTTTATTTATTATTTTCCAGTGTGGCTTCCAACTCGGTTTGTAGTCCAAACTGCCTCAAACTTACAGCAATGCTTCTGCTTTGGTATCCTAGGTTTGGGGGAATTGTAGGAATAAGTCACCATGTTCTCCACTTTTCTTTCCTTTCTTTCTTTCTTTTATTTTTTTTTTTTGAGAAAGTGTCTCATGATAAGGCCCTGACTGTCCTGGAGCTCTCTATTAGTCTAGGCTGGTCTCAAGCTCAGAGAGACTCCCAAGTGCTGGGATTAAAGATGTGCACCACCATGCCTGGCTGTGTTTGAGGTGGAATCTCTGTGTAGTCCAGGCTAGTGTGGTACTTACGATCTTCAGGCAGGTACCATTGTGCCTGGCATTGAGAGTGTCCTAGAGATTGATGATAAACTTCCATGGTCACTACACTAGAATCTGCAATGGGTGTGGTTTGTTTTGTTTGCTTGTGTTTTTATTTTTGGCATGGTCTCTCTGTTAGCCTGGGCTGTTCTCAAACTCATTATCCTCCTGCCTCAGCCTCCTGAGTACTGGAATAACGGGCATGGAGGACCTACATTTCTATAGTAGTATAGCTGGAATTGTAGGCTTGGAGCTGACTTCTAGGCAGGGAAGTGAAGAAACCAGCAAGATGACTGTCTGTACAAGGGCCCTCCAGTTGGTGCTGAAATGCTACTACCAGTGACCTGGAACCCACTTCATGGTGTCTCTACTATGGAGTTTTAGGGTGTGTGATTGACTTGGGGCTATGCATGAGAGGGACTACCAAGTTTCCCTGTTGTCTCCCTTCCTTGTTTCCTTTGATTAGAGTTAGGAGACCAAGTTCAGTACCACAGGCAGCTTGCCTGTCTAGGGAATCCTCAGTGAGAAGACAGATCTAGAGTTGGGCACATCCAGGGCAAAAGAAGGGTGCCCACAGAGGCTGGGGGAGGTGGAAGTTTGGGGGAGGTGGGTGTGAACACTTGGGATTTCCTACCCCAGACAGCTGGCTTCATCTCCTAGTTCCTCAGTGTCTTTGTCTGCAAAGTGGGAAGCAAATTAGTTTCCACCTCTCTGGCTTACGCAGAATAAACACAGGGGTCCTCAGATACTGCAAATTACACGCAGCTCTGGGTGGATCTCTGAGCTTGAGACCAGCCTAGACTAATAGAGAGCTCCAGGACAGTCAGGGCCTTATCATGAGACACTTTCTCAAAAAAAAAAAAAAAAAAAAAAGAAAGAAAGAAAAGTAGAGAACATGGTGACTTCAGTCCCACCCCCTTTACCAACTTCACGATTTTTATTTTCCTCTGCTTTTTCTTAAAAACAGCCAGCCCCTCCCTCCCACGTGAGTGGTTTCCCCTCTTAGTAGCCAGCTTATAGCAACCAGCTCTGGGTGGAGTCCCGAAGAGGCTCCTGTCCCTTACTCAGGGTTTCCAAGGCCCTGGTTGGGACTCCCCCTCCCCCTCTAGGCAAGGACAGGAAGTGGGCACTTTGAGAGTTAGAGTCTTTACCCGCAGTTACTATGCCTAGAGTCAGTCAGCCTCTCCCCACGGAGGGACAGAAGAAGCGTGGGACACCTGCTTCAGCCTTCTCCTGTCCTGCCCCTGCAGGGGTCTTGATGGCTGGGCAGTGGGGCAACCGTGCTGGCCTGAGCCCTAACGTCCATTTCCTAGGTGACTGGGCCTCAGTTTGCTCCTGAGGTAAAAGAGGAGAAAGCGGCTGGTGGGAAAGTCTCAGTGAGTAAACCGAGTCGCCAAGTCCAATGACCTAACATCCATTCCAGGGGCCTACAGTGGGGAAGCAAAACCTGGCTCCTGCAAACTATCCTTTGACAGGCACCCCCCAAAAGTTTATTTTTTTAAAGATTTATTTATTTATTACACATACAGTGTTCTGCCAGAAGAGGGTACCAGATTGAATTGTAGATGGTTGTGAGCCACCATGTGGTTGCTGGGAATTGAACTCAGGACCTCTGGAAGAGCAGTCAGTGCTCTTAACCTCTGAGCCATCTCTCCAGCCCCCAAAAGTTTAATTTTTTTAAAAGAAAGGAATTATAATTCCATGATTTAATGATGTATGTTGTTCAGCTAGATGAAGAGGAGTTTTATCCAGGAGTTCAGGCGCTGGTCTTCAAGGGCTATTGATTGGGGAACTATTTGAGATATGCTTTCAATTACCAAGGGAATCCCAGGATGATACCAGTTTGACCAACATCCTTCTAACTTTTTGTCTCTGATTGCAGCCACAGAGAGTGGTGGTGGTGTGGTGTGGTGTGTGGTGTGTATGTGTGTGTGTGTGTGTGTGTGTGTGTGTGAGAGAGAGAGAGAGAGAGAGAGAGAGAGAGAGAGAGAGAGAGAGAGAGAGAGAGAGAGAGAGAGAGAGAGAGAGATGGGCCTTCCAAACCTTTTAACCCTGTTTACAGAAAATGGGAATTTGCATGATGAAAATAACTTCGGCCGGAGCGCGAATTTTTACTGCGCTTGGCACGGGGCTCGGAAAAAGCGGCTGCATAGCCAATTACTGGAATTTTTAAACACAAATAATATTTTATGGGATCAGTGGGTTGGCTCAGGGCCGCCGCACCCGGCTCAGCTCCTTCGCCTACAAACAAGCTCGGATTGTGCAGCGAGTCAGCATGCCCAGGCCTCGGGCCAGCCTGGGGGGCACCGTGGGCCTGCGGGCTTGGGAAGTGAGGGCTGGAGGGGGGGTGGTCCCCGGGTGTGGGCAGGTGCAGCGAGGGGCTCGAGCCTCCCCGCCGGCAGGGGGCGCCCGCGAGGCTCAGTCCGGGGTTAGCATACCGGGCACTCACCTGCAGCACCGAACTGGGAAGTGTGCTGTGCGATGGGTTGTGCCCTGTGCAGAGTTGCCCCGCCTGGAATGGCCCAGGGCGTCACTACGCCTCCGGAAGCCCGGCTTCCCGGAACAGCCGGAGGGCGGCGGGGAGTTCTCGCCTCCCTCTAAAGCCTGCCGTGTCCCACCGGGGTCCCAAAGCTGGGCCAAAGACACAGCCAGGAGCATCGGAAGCGCGGTCTCTGTTGGGATCCCGTTTGCTCCTGACCTCCAAGACTGGCCAAGAGCCCAAGGGAGGTGTCCCCAGCCGGAGTCTTGGTTCCCGTAGCCGGTTAGCTCGCCCCTGCCAACCGAGCGCCCAGCACGCACAGGGTTAAGCGGGAGCAGGTGTGTAGCCAGATGCCGCGGCCCGGTCGGCGTCCTCCTCCTCCTCCGCCCACCCGCTCTGAACCCGACAGTCCCAAATAAAAGTGCTATTGTTGCCGGGCCTTCCCCCACCCCCGCCTCTGCCCCGCCACCTGGAGCCGAGCCCGCTCTCTCTTCACCTGCCCCGGGGCCGGCCGGGGAGGGGGAGTGGGGCCTCGGAGCGGGGACTTCCGCTCGCCCGCTCCTCCTCCTCCAAGGCCCTTGTCACTGACCCCAGAGTCCCCGGGGCAGGGCAGACACCGTGGCTTTGTGCCCGGGCTCCTTTCGGACCTGACAGATCCACTCGGGCCTTTCCCTCCCTCTACCCCCCCCCAATGGCTTTTCAAAGCTGGGAGGACACGAGGCCTGGTGCCAGGAGTCCAGGGCAGTGCCGCGTTGCTCAAGACCAGCTGTTGCTTTCTCTTTAATCGTTTGTCCATCGATAAGAATGGAAGGCAGGGCAGAAAAGGAAACCGAGACACTTGGCAGAGGAAGAGCTCAAACACGGGGCTGGTAAACGTGGAACTGAAGTCCCCCAACTCCCCTGGCACCGCGGGGTCCCCAGCCCCCGGGAGTCTGACGCAGCTCCCGGGTTCACTGTGGGGCCTTGGGCAGGTTACCCCGCTCCTTGATCTCTTCTGAAATCGAGGAGGGGGGACTTCCTCGGCTCCCCAGTTCTCACACTGCCACTTGGAATCCGAGGGACTGGTTTCCACCCGGGAGATCTGGGACACCCAGCCTGGGGCTGCACGACAGGGTTCGGCAACCGCGGCCTGTTCCGAGCCGGAAGGAGGTTCTTTTTGGTCCTTCCTAGCCAGCTAGCACCAGGAGGCTGATCAGTAAGGCTCTAGGAAACGAGTCAAGACCCTCGTCACAAGCAGCCACAGCTTCGAGGATCGCACGCGGAGCCCCGGGCGGCTCCACTTAGGACAAGTTCCCGCGGGGAACCCGCCCGCGGCAGGCGCAGGCCTGGGCGGTGAGCGCCAGCAGCTCCCGCGCACTGCGAGCCGAGTTACCGTATTTCCTCTTTTGCGCCCTAAGTTTCGAGCGCGCAAATCCCACTTGTGCATTGTCCGTGAGAGCATGCTTTCTCTTTACTGCGTAAAGAGTTCCGTTGGGAGCCCGGAGACCTGAGTTTTTCGGCTTTGTTCTTTTGGCCCTGCCATTTATTATCTCTTCTACCCTCCGACCCGAAGACCTAATGATC